GAATTCCAATGTGCATTTTAAATAATTGGTGAAAGTTTAGAAGCTTGGCTGTTGCTATATAATGAAATATTCGAAGGAAAAACGCGACCCAACAGCGTTTACAATTAAATTAATTACGTTCAGGCTAATTCTTCACTATGGTTTCTTTCTCTTTTGCTGAATATTTTAATAGCGGAAACATGTTAATGTTGCTGTTGCTATTGTTTTTTTACGTATAGCGATCTTTGAAAATCGCGCTTACTCGAACAATGAAGTTACATACAATTAATATATACACGTACATGAATTGAAATGAATCAACATATTACATATCAATTATATTTATCGAAATTCAATAATTTGAGATTTAGTAAATTTTTTAGGATTCGTTCATTCACAATAAACTTGACAATATAATAATCAAAAGAGGGGAAGTGTGTGATTAAAAAAAACTTCTAGTCTCTGAATTTAAACAGCAACGTTTCGTCGCCAATTTCGTTGACCTCATAAAACTTTATTAAATCACGAAACAAAAAATCAAACAACATTAATCAAAAATTCCAAAGATATTAGATTATAAAAATAAATATAGCGCAAAATTTTTGAAATGGTACATATTGGCTTAGCTCATAACAGTTTAAATAGGAAAGATGACGTTCAATTTCTCAGTCATCTTTATTGACCTTTATTGAGTTATTTAAAGAGGGATTACATTTAAACGACTAACTCAGATTTATATTCGAAACTATATAACAGTCGACACTAGGTAAAATTTCTCAATTACAGTTTGAATGGTAATGAGAATCATTCTCTAACCTACACATATATTAATCCTCAAGCGATTAGATAAACAAAAGTGTAATTTTTTATTAATGTTATCGTTCCGTCTTTTGTTTCTTGATTTAATAAAGTGTGATGAAGTTAGCGAAAAGCGAAATTCCTGACGAAACTTTGTTGCCTAAATTCAGTAACTAAAAGTTTATTTTATTCATACATTTCTCTCTCGTTTGATCGTCAAGTTTATTGAAAAAATGGAGGGAAACATTACATACAGTGAATTACTTCGTACATGTAAAGTCAATTTTTTGTATATAGGAAATATGGAATTTCTTGAAAATCTTAAAACTTTACATTACATGTATACCTGTAACAACATTTCATAGCTGTAATTTCAAATAAAACGACAGGACATCTACGAATTAATAGGTGTCATTTAAAATTAAAAATGCAACTACTTCCGTGATTTTATTTTCTTTATCGTCTCAATATGCTACTTTACCAATATTTTCCACGCACTCCAAGAACTCGTCCAAGACTCCATTCGAGAACATCAACTGAAAATTAAGTTCTTGTCGACCGAACTGAATTCGACATACAAAAGAAAAAAAGAAAAAAATGTATTGGAAAATAAACATGCAATTGACATTGCAAAGAACTCGTACTTTGATAAAATACTCTCGAACTTCGACACTTCAAAAAAGCTCATCAGACTTTCAAAACACTTTGCTGGTCTTGAGTATCCACAAACTTCCAGCAGGAGCAAGTATATCCAGCCTGTTTCACCGCATTACGCCAGAAAAGCCAAATCGTGCAGCGGTAGAAACGCCGCAGTGCAGTTTTGGGAGAGAGACCCGCGTCGAACGTCGCCACTAACCGTCATAACACAAACGCGCGCCGTAAGCAACCTCGCTCACGCATGACCTGAGTTCACCTTTGCCAAAGTAACCGCGAAAACGCGAAAAGCCACCTTTTTTTACCTCTCTCCACTTGGCGAGAGTCGAGTTCCCGCTCAAAGAAGGATTATTATCAAAATGTTACGAAACGACGGCATATCAAGTTGAAAACTGTTTGCGTGAGAAAATACTTTCGTAAACATCCCACTCTTAAATCCAATTGATGAAATTGAAGTGACGCGCTAATTAAACGTTCTGCTTTGTTTTTATGGTGATAGGTGAAACTTTAGAAAGTCACTGCAGTGAAAATTGTTAAGCTGCAATGTAAAATTTTTACAAACTTCCATTCAACTACATTAGTTTTGTCGTTACTAAAAAGGCAACTCTTCGGTTCGTAAAATTTAACGCGCTATGCATAATTCCATAACGAGTAGAAAAGGAAAAATATTTGCCTAACGAAATCACATCAAAAGAAAGTTTTAACAACTCGATCGGCACGAAACAAAGGAGCGAGCGAGCGAGCGAGCAAAAAAAATTGCGAGAAATCAATTTAATTTGTCGGGCTGGCGCTTCCTCGTCCCAAATAAACTACAAAGCGAGAGACTGGGCAAAGGAATGCCGTCGCCGAAAACGAGCCTCCCCTCGAGAATGAGAGAGAGGCCTCATTTCCGCGCGTGGACGTTCTCCGTGGTGACGTTGTACTCAAAGTTGTGTACGCATAGACTGAGAGTTACCGAAGTGAATGTTCCGGCCAAAATAACCTTGTGACATACGAAGTGCAGGCATTTGTCAAAAAATTTCTTAAATCATTCATTTCATATGCTATGGCTATACAAAACACGTTGCTTCGCTATTGCAAAGCTTGAATCGCAAGGTGATTGAAGCACCCCTGAAGGTGCTCTGCAAGCTCGAGTAGAAAATCTCACACGATCAATCACATAGAAAACCTATTCCAACGATCACATCTCGCCAATCCTTTCAACGGCAACTTCACCTTGCCAAGTACAGTATAATGAAATTCACGAGAATCTCAAATGCCATGAGAAGTAGCCACTTGCGTCGATGCTTGTGCAAATTCGAGTCGAACGACAGGTCGCATCAGCTTTGCATGCCGAATGTCGAGGAAAGGGACGACAACGAAAAAAATTGGAAATTCACGAGACCCCGTGTACACACTTTAATCCGCGCCGGAAGTTTCTCTCGGACTGCTTTTAAGGATGTATGGCTTGGCTACAGTACAGTCTTGACACGAAAGTTTTCTTCCCTTTTCCGGCTGAGCGTGACTTGAAACGAACATCGAAGTCCGACACATGCGTTCTCGGTGCTGTGAATTTTCAAGTGTAATGAACGCATATACGATCGTTACTGTTTATAAAAAGGAAGAAAAAAAAATACAAGGAAACATGTCAACCGTAGTCGCATTGTTAGGAATTCGCTTTGAAAAGCCCCGCGAGGAGGGAGGGGAGCTTTTTCTGAATCAGACTGTAAAGGCCACTGCAAGTCGAAAAAATTCGGAAGGAACGTGGGGTGAATCCACTAAGAGATGCTCCAGCACTAGCCGTACTTCCTTCTTTTTTTTGCCAGGACCTTCTTCTCCTTTCTCCGGGATTTCGTAACGACTCACTTTATGTTCTTCCTGTTCTTCCTGTTCCACCAGCCGCTCGTTCCTTTTCTTTTTTTTTCTACCCGCTCGTGCCCCGACGAAAAGTATATCTTCTATTCTTCAGAGGATAATTACTTTTCCAACCATTCGCGGAACGCTCGCGCAGTTTCATTCCAGATCAGAGAAGATATGAAACGACGAGTGTAAGATTGTTCAACGATTCCGTCGGAATCGATTCTCATGAAAATCGCGGGCAAAAGTAATCTGCGTAGTTTAAAAGTGAATCAAGCAACTCGAAATCTTAGTCGGGTCGAAGAATAAAAAAAAAAAGAAGGGAAAGCGTTCTTTACACTGCTCGGTAAATCATCACAATGAACGGGGGGCAAGTAAGAAGAGCGAGCAACGGGCGCGTGCTTTAAGAGAAGTTCGCGGGCGCCAGCCAAACTTCGAAATGGTCTTTTTTTTGCACGATTCTGTTACTATACGATGTCGGTCGATAGCCTAGCTTCGCGCGGCTTTTCCTACCTAGTACTTGCCGCTATGTTTTGTATAATAAATGTACATCTGGAGGCTATCCCTCGATTAATAAACACATATTTTACTTCTCAACGTTTCACTGATTTAATTCCGCAGCTTCGTCAGAGGCAAACTTAATAATCAAATAATCCATATCTATAGTAATAAAGTGTCTGTTGACAGACTCGCAGATTCTGATTATTACATAAATGCATAAACAAACCTACAACCTGTTGAATAACAAAAATATTATTACTTATAAAGCATAATGGGTCGCATATAGTGCAACTTTTCCACTTTGGATAAATAAAGTTTACAATATTTTATTTGTTACTGGCTTGTCATTACTCATTACAAAAAAAAAGTGCGGATGATTTTATTTCACTTGCAATAGACACAACGTATCAACACAGCTTGGCAACCCCCTGGATTGAAAGCCGATCTGCCATTTTCCGTCCCTACGTATGCCCAGGCGAATCTCCGGCGAGCACGCGACCCTCGAAAACTATGGTAACGCTATGAAGCCACAGCGCAACGGCAATTACTCGAGAGCAAGATCGTTCGGCATCATGTAAATTAGGTGCAGTAGCAAGGGCTATCGCGTCGGCGTCCTTTCCCCCTTTCCTCTCGCCGAGAACTTGGCAAGGATCGACTTTCTCAATTGTGTTAACAAGACAGACTAGCATCCACAGAGAGAGAGAGAGAGAGAGAGAGAGAGAGAGAGAGAGAGAGAGAGAGAGAGAGAGAGGAGGGGGCACTCGCTTGACTGTATCGTGAAAATGACGAAGTTACTCCCCGAGCAACATGAAAAGAGGCTCCCCTAGGAATTTAATTTTCGTGCGAGATCGCTGACACGCGATAAGGGCGGCCCACTTTTTTCCTTTATCGAAGGCTATGCGCGCTTCAGTGCCAATAAATGCAAACTTTTATTGGCTATCATATATATACATACTACACTTTAGAGCGAGGACTGATGTGCTACACTGGCGCCTGGGTAAAGTTATATGCCTTCACTAAGGGTATATGACTTTTTAATTTATGCTGCGAACTTCGGCTTCTCAGGAGCACAATTTTTTTTAATTTAATTGCCGAGTTGAACTTGGAAGTTACGCGCTTGCGGAAGTCTCATTTGCACGGGAAATTCAATTTTCATTGGAAAAATTGAATTTTTTCGCGTCGTGTCAGCGATCGCCCGATAGAAAAAAGAAGAATCGAGCGATAAAACTTACCGCCATATCCTCGCTTCTATAGGCAGTGAGTGTTTGCTCGTCCTGGAGGAGTACACAGTAGCAAGGTTCCCAGCAGGCATCGTCGCTTGGGTCGCCAACGCAGCAGTCTGCCTCTGCAATGAAAAAGAAATATATATATATATATATATATATATACATTTGAGAGACCAGTTATCGCACCTTTCCTCTGTAGCGTTTAATGGGTGCTCGTAAAGCGCAGGTGTGTCTCTATAAGGTCGTAAAAAATAAAATCATACGCGATTGTGTGACACATTGTTATTGCGCAATTCGACTTCAGATTTTTGTTTTAATCATTGTTTGAACGTTGAAGCATATTTAAGCTCTTTTTCAAATTCACATTCACGTACGACCTGAACTACTACGGGTCCAAAAATGATTAAGCCACCTGGTATTTGTTGATGTATAGATAAAAAAATCACTTCATGACGAGCCTTGAAAATGTCAAAGAGTATGGATCTAATGATAGAATAAGCTTTATTACGGTTAATCAGAATAATTAGAAAGAAATCTCAGATACAAGTTGAATAGTTTACCTAGTTAGATAATTTTCCGAGAGTGATGATTTTAAGCAGATGTTTTCTACGCAATCCAACTATAAGTATTAACAATAATACCGAGAGCATCGCTAAAAAGAAAGCGAGATTTCTCTCAGCGCATAGACAATAACCAGAGCATCGTAGCTGGAATGCATAAAATCCAACTGACAATTGGCAGTAATACCGCTTGCAATGGTACTAGCAACGGCAAATTAACGGCTGACGGCTACTAGCGGCATGCTAAAGAGCCTCTTACTTCTTTCTCTCCTCTACCTTGGCCACTTTTCCGTGGCTGCATTAACCCGATTTCGCTAACGCACTTAACGCGATTATTCGCAGCAAAACGTGACGCAACTCAGCGCCGGCAGCGGCGTCGCGACGTCATATACCTCCGTCGTCCTCAACCATTAGCTAATTACAAAAAGAGAAAATATGCGTCGACTCCGCGGCGTACGACTGCGAGAGTTTTTTGGCGACGCCCTAAAGCTCTTTTTAATTGGCCATGCGTCTGGTTAAGGATATCTGTAACGGACGAGGTTGGCTAACTGGTTTCGACTTTCACTGATCGACTTTTGATCGTTGAATTGGAAGGACACACGCGACAACGATTAAAATCTCTTTACGCGCGTGCTTGGATTCAATTAATTTGCTGGTTTGATTTTGCTTTAGGGGGATTGCACTCACAAATTGTATCGATGAAACAGCGACCGCTGCCGATTCATTATGCGTTTATTTTGCATTTTGATATTCAATCAAAGCTGATGTTATAATTAACGGCCATCGCGAACGCCAGAAGCTTTATCCGATATAAATGATATCGGAACGTAGCACGAATTAGCCAATATATAGCACAATGATATATCAGCGTAAATGATAGCCGGAAAAATTATCTCGAAGCAGATAAAAATCCGGATAAAAAACATAAGTCCGTCATCCACGTGCAATTAAAAAAAAAAAGCAGATCCCCGTCGGCTATCGTCGTTGCAAAATGGCTGTAGAAAAAGAAAATAGCAGTTATCGTCAAACAGCAACGGCAATCGATCGTTTAAGCAGTCCAGTCGAGCGTAGGAATCTCCCTAGCGATTTGTCGCGCCGCGCTGTGCCCGCGGCGTCAGGCGCCCAGGCGCATTGTCGGTCGCATTAACGCGTGTGGGAGAAAGATGCGCGCGCGAATCGAATGCCCTTTTGCGAAATGCGTGGCCGCTGCAATGGCGAAAGTGAAGGTGGCGCCAGCCAGCGGAAAGCGCGCACGCACGTGAGCTGGATTACCAATTATAAAAAAAGGACTGTTTTTAGGTCGATGTCGTTTATCCAAAGGAGGATCGAGGTTGGGCGTGTGTATTATTAGGTGTTTCGTTTCTGCTATTCTTTTCTTTCTTTCTTTCTGTCTCTTTTAGTGGACTTCGATTATCAGTGTTTTAATGCTTGAGGTTCTTTTCCAACGTACCGAATCTCGTTATTTACGTAATCAAACTTACAATATTTGAGATTTTTTTACAAGTAACTGTTTCGAATGTTTCGGATCAATAAGTTGGAGTGAACTACGTTAGTATTGCAGAATAGCAACATTATCGAAACAATGCCATTCAAAGTGTTGATAATATCTAAAATCGTGCGATGCAAAACTTTCATACAGATACGTGATAATTTATTTTTGTACAGACAAAAGCGTACACATCGTAAATCAATATTTTAGATATTCATTGAATTTACGTAATGCATAAGCTTCACTTGTAACAAATACCGTATTGCAATTCACTATCTGTTGTTGAGAAGCATTCATTCGATGCTGACTCAACTAGCGATAACATCCTGTAAAACAATACTATAATTTAGAATTGGTAAAGACGTGCAGAATTTCCAACGAAACAATATAATTTGATGAAAATACCGACGTGGAACAAACGGAAGTTATTATAAAGAGCGAAATGATCCAGCAAATAAAAATTCCGTATAGAGTAGCAATATTAAGCAAGGGGAGGTCATGACCCCGCCAAAAGAAGACTTTATTAAGTCTAAGAAAAGATGCATTGAAAACGGCTGCTCCATTTCACTGCTGAAGACGAAGAAAAAGTCTTATTACAAAAAGTCATACAAACGCAGTGAGCGTTCCATTCCAGAACGGAAAATGAATAAATCTTTCTCTCTCCCTCTCTCTCTCGTTCTCTCTTTCATTTCTCCGGAATATCGACTCTCATCCTCAGAATCATAAGCTTCTCTTTCCCACGCGGCGTTCGCGAACAATGACGGATCGGTTCTTCATCGCCGGCCGTAAGATTATAAACGCGATAGGTAATTCACGCGTGGCGACGCGGAAATCGTAGGTGTAAAAGATTTTACGACGGCTGACCCGGTAAGAGGTGTTATGCAAAAAGGCCAAATGCTTCTCATTGGATTTCACTTGCAAAGCATATCCTGACACGCGTGCACGCTGAGGCGGAAACCAAACTTGCGCGCGTGCGACGTCATTCAAATTAAATGATAGCTACTTTTTAATGATATTAATGATACTACGAACGGCATTGAGAAAGCTGCCGCTGCTAGGTTGAGGATACTAGGCCGTCGTGACACCGATTCGCTAAACTTTGCCAAGTTTTCCTCTTGCTAAAGATTTGCACGGCCTCATCAAAGTGCTCATCAGTTATTCAGCGTTCTTTTGCTCAAATTTTAGTTCTAATTACGCGTTTTATGTCTAATAACATTATAGAGTGTGGGATTACAAGAAAGTCTCTGGATAATTATTCGAATGAATCCACTGACCAATGTCATAGATAATAGAAGATTAATAGAAATACACATGAAGAAGGTTTCATAATTTGTTTCAAGTAATAATTTAGTATTTTTATTATTATAGAATAATATGTGTAAAATTATCGCAACAATATGAAATTGAACCTTTGATATTGAATTTTGAAATTCATTTGTTTTCAAGTACTGAACCTACAAACTATTTACATCAATCGCATCTATACTGAACTCCTGCCAGGACAACGTACACTATCAAACCAATTATCGGCATTCCAATAATTCCAACCACAAGATAAAATTTAAAAGATGACCAAATCGAATTACACCTACACTAAAAAATATAGACAGGTCGCAAGCGAAAACGAGAGAGATGGAAAATTGGATTCCGAGATCGGTTAAGCGCAGACCTTTGCTTTTGTTTATAAGTCGCGAATATCGAGTATTGCGCTCAGACCATGGATAAAATGAAATTTGCCCGTGGAGAAAGAAAACACGGAAGCTGAGCAAGAGGGCAGGATCCGCGCACATTTCACCTTTTTCCCCGAGACTATTGCCGAGGTAAGAGCGATAAAGTTCGATTTGCTGTGCTTAGACCTTCGCCTTTATCTTTTTTGCTTTCTTTTTTTTTCTTTCTTTCGTTAGGACGATATTTTTTATAGCTGGTGATTTCTCTGGAGGATTTTTTTATCATCGGTGTTCCTTTATCATAATCAACTTTCTTGGATATTTGAGCTGACTTTCGTGATATTTAGACACTTTATATTTATAGATTACATAAATAAAGCGATTGAAGAAATCAATTAGAACCTAGAAAGAAAGAGCAACGCCAAATCGATCTACTTCTTATATAAGTATTCATGTATATATTTACAATTAGTCATAGTTGTAAGGGGAAGTTTTATACGAAGAAGAGTAATATAAAATGTAATTATGCGTTTGAACTTTTTTGACTTCTAATTTTATTTATCATCTGTTACATGACATTAAATAAGTAAATTGTTCAACTTGTACAATATTAGCGTTAATATACAGGCGAGCTTTCCAATGTAAGACTCAGCCTACGGTTAATTGGTTCAATCTTTGATTATTAATTTATATTATCAAGAAAAATAGATCAGTTGTTTAAATTTTTTTAGATGAGAATTGCAAATATTTTGTTGTAGAATACGAATTGCGAGTTGGTTGGGATGAGTTTGTAACCAATTTTTGTATGTATTGTACGTATTGTAAGTATATTATTATTTCTTTTCTCACTGTTGGCATTTCAAGGTCTTTTCTAATAATTTCATTAGGGATAAACCAGGATGCATCAACTAGCATCCGCAGAGTTTTGCTTGGGAATCTTTCTAAAATTTCTATATTTGAGTTTGACGTCATTCTCCAAAGTTGATTTCCATACGACCATACTGGTTTGAATATGGATTTGTACACAAACAGTTTATTTGCAAGATATGGTTGAGATTTTCTACCAGTCAACTAGTACATCTTTCTCAGTTTGAGATTTAGCGGTTATTCAGTTAATCATTTTCAGTTTGTTATTCATTTTGTTATCTTGATAATCCGTGCTGTCAACAGATTTAACATCGTATCCATTCTGTCCATAAGTTTTTCAATCTTTACCTTTAGCTTTTTTTCTCAATTGGAATCAGTTGGTTTCAATTCATGTCTGTTGGTAATTTCTGGTTCTAGTAGATTGTTGGAGTCGGTCCTTTGAGTACCAGCCGTAGCTTGTGCGTACGTAAAGTTAAGGTTAGTTTGTTGAGGATATACCTTTTCAATTCTATTATTATTGCTGAACCGAGGTTGTA